CCACCAGCCCTCACGGCGGCCAAGGTCTGCTACACCAAACCTCCCTACGGTGTATCAATCTGCCCTCTACATCTATATTTTTGACGACGGAGCAGCCCCTCCCGACCACGCTGCGCCGTGTCCTCCTCGCCGCTGGGATAGAGGCCCACCCGGCGGGGCTTCTGATCCAACAAGGGCTACAAGCCAGCCAACCGTCCGAAGACCCTCTGCCACAGTCCGGTATCTGAAGAAGATCCGGAAGTCGTGGTTCTAAAGACCTTGCAATTGATCCTGCAACAACAACAACAACCACCACCACCACCAGCGTGATCGCGATCCTGATCATGAGGCACAAGGAATAAATTTACTAGGACTTTAATATAGCAATTTCCGGGGCGTACTCCAACCATCAAAAAAATTGATTACTAATCGACATTCGATTCACTTTACCGGACAGGTCGGTAGCACTGGTTTTGAAGAGTACTCGCTGAAGGTTTTCACCAAAAGCTTTATAAAACCAGAAAAAATGCCGCTGCCCTCTTACAGTGGCTTTTCTATTTCGCACTTTTTCAGCCCAACCGAATGGGAATGTCGACTGTCGACGCTGGAGCAACGTCGCTCCTTCCAAAATCAGGCAAGTACTACGTAAATTTTCCTTAATAATTTCTTGTTTCCTGTCTTCTTGTGCACCAGGTCTCGCCAGTGTGGCCCGCCTGAGTCGTTTTTCTCTTTCTCGCAGACTATCTCAGTGATTCAAAAGTCCCGTATTTTGCGGTGAATTTAAACGAAATATTATTTATTATATACTTGGCGCAGTTGAGGGTGTACTGTTTGCTGTGGCATGACACCATTTTAAGCCCTCGGCTTACTGTGATTCCAGCTACAAAATGGCTTACGCTATCCCTCTTTTTGCCGTGTATTAAGTTTGCAAGATCATCAGGGGGCGGAAAACAGAAACCCGGATCCGAATGGACACACACACCGGTTTATTGTTTGACACGGACTTCAAACGGTCAGCCACCTCGACAGTTCGACCGTCTTATCGACGAGGTCCACAGCGTGCTCTACAACAGAGTGGTCCAGAAACGGCGACTTGCGCTGAATTATAGTCAAGGTAGACTTATACTGCGTCTGCCTCATTCCCTGTACCAGTCATTTATCTGGGCCCGGTGTCAAGACAGTGCCAAGCAGACCGGAGATGGGAGAGGGCGCAGGCCTACGCCCTGTGGGCCACCAAAAATAAGAACCCACAGCAAAGGTGGTGAGCGGCTCCGATCCCAGCTGAGTAGGAGTGCCGTAAAGCCCACATTAAGAAGGAGCCATTGCGGCCTGACGATCAATCCGCCAGCCAGCCACTCTACACACCACAGCACGCACTGGGCCGACCGCGCGGTCCGAGTTATCCTGTTGGTTGGAAACCCTCAAAGTCACGGCTTTTAGTGCATCATGACAACTTCAAGCGCATGAGATTGGTTATAGAGAGGAAAGTGCGCTGAGTCGTCGACTTCACTCTCTCCCCGCCCCCAGCATCAGGCCACCGTTCGAGCCGGTCAATTTTCTGAATATAGGTGGGCGCAGTTGCTGACAAGCGTGGCGAACCCGTCTGCGCGCAACAGCACGACCTTACTTCCTTGACGCAAACATCAAGATTATCAGAAACTAGGGGTAAGAAGGAACCGTCGTTGGCTGAC